TAATCTTGTATTGAATTCGAAGTATGTGACAAAAAATATATTTGAATTTGTGATTATTCTAAATTACTCTAAAAATGATGTAAACTTGAATTTGTATGAATGAATTGATGATTATATTGGAATTTGAAACCACCTATTGTTATCTACTACAATTTTAATTATGTAATCTAGTCTTATTCATGCATTCTCTACAATCAATAATATACGATATAAAATTTTCTTTTCTAAGATAAATTAAATATATTCTAATCATTACCATATCATATTTCTAGTCCGAATTTGAATGAGTAGAACGCATTAAATTATACTATTATCATATGATTGAACACTCGATATTGTTATTCCTAACATCTGTTACCCGTATGTTAATCTTACTGTGTTTTAAATTTATTGTGAATTTTTCAACATTACAACCAGTAACTAATTATCTACTTATTAGTTACGCAATTAAATAATGCAATAAAAATCCAAAATTAATCAAGAAATTCAAGAATTGACTAAACTATTAGTCTTGAATTAAAATAAATAAACAAAAATATTCTTCACATCCAATAAAAATAAAAAAAGATCTAGCCTAACAGACTTAATATAACTTATAAGGAGAATAATGAAAAATAATCATCCGGATCATGAAAGAATACAAAAGATATTGATCTTCAGTTCCAAGGTTGAAATCTTTAATTTCTTTATGTAATTAGCCTTCAATTCTTGTTAGATTTTGATCTTATCTCCCAAAATATGTAAATTGGTATTTTGTTCTTAATTTATGATATGGATGTGTATTAAGAAGTTAGATAGAGATCCCTCCAATGGCGGCCTATGTTTTGTACTTATAGAAGGTGAAATTAGATCAAGAAACACGTCCAAATTCGATTATAAAAGAGTTTCAATTAAATAAGGAAAGTTGTCCATGCACCGCGCATGGTTATGTCTCTTTGCAGCCTTTAGTATTTTTGTCATATATTCATCTATCGATATCCGATTGAAACGATTCAAGGTGAGTCAGAAAGGTGACTCAAAGAGCTAAAATACTTTTGGAAAAATCATTATTATAATTCGAACATTGTCTATGCAAAAAATGGGTCTCAATTTGAGGCTGAAATTTGGAGCATAACTTGTGCGGCCGAAAATTGATTTGTGAAAATACTTTAATTATATTTCACTCCTTTATTTGACTTCTAATTGCCCAATTGACCCCTAGCTTCAATTGTTATTTTGTGGTCCAAATCAATTATTGAATATTTGTACTTTGGTCCCGAAGTTTGAATTATATTCCATTTTTTGTTCCTTTCGTCCAATTCAATGAATTTGCACCCAGCTTTACTCAACAACCGTAATGTATACTAACCACATTTTATCAAAATTAATAACAATTGTTCTTATTTAACGGCCTAGATAAAAAATAAATAAAATAAAACTAAGGGAAAGAAAAAGTTAAATATGATAAAAGGGAAGATTTTGGAGAAAGAAAATTAAAGCCAAGAAACCCATGAAAACAAATAATTTCAACTAGAAATATTTTTATTACTATTATTAGAATAGAATTATAGAAATGGTTAATATGAATAATGTGTTAGTGTTCATCTGCGGGATCCGCAGACAAACTCAAAGTTGCAATTGCTTTGACTTGGATCATCATCATCATCTACACATTTAATATTAATTGCATTTTGACTTACTGGAAATTGCTCCCTTACTACCTTAACGCAATCTTCTCTTCCATCGTCACCACATTCACCAGTTTGCCTGGCAGTATTCATGTCCGGACAACATAAAAAATGTAACGAAACTTTATACAAAATATAGAATCAACACATACAACATTTTCAAGAAAATAATAGAAGCAATAGGTACCTAAAGATGGACTCCACAAAATTGCCAGAGAAAGCAGGCAAATCACAATTGAATTCTTCATCGTCGTTGATTTCGAATTTGATCGATCACGATGTAATTAATTTACATTATATGAATTAAGTTTGATGATTAATAATTTAATTCGATGTCAATTTTGTTTGTTGGGTAAAACTTGAAGCAATTGGATAGAATTGAAAAAAACAAGGAAAAAGATAAATAACGGAGGAAATATAAAGTTTGGCATTAAATTACAAGCTTTCAATGGTTGATCCAAACTTAATATTGGTGGTGGGAAAATTCTTGAATTCAATTGGAAGAAATTGGAAAGCTGAAGGATTAAAATGTATGGAAAAAAGGGCTCAAGATGAATAATCATTAAAGCTGGGGACTGAATCCCAAAAGCCAAAAGCCCAAAAAAAAAAAAAAAAGAAAAAAAATAAAATAAGAAAAATGGCACGTGTACGAGCTGTGAGTTTTGAGGGTCCAGACCTGGACTGGCCCTAGACAAGCTTTCCTCGAGTAGTAGGGTAGGTTTACAATTTTTTTTTTTTGGACGGTTAAGAGTCGCAGATGGTTTGAGACGTCGATGGCAAAAAGATAAAAGGTTAAAATTGTAAAAA